GGAAATGGCTCAAACTGAAAGAGAGTGGCTTTACATTGGATATTAGGAAGAATTTTTTTACTGTGAGGGTGGTGAGATGTTAGAATGAGTTGCCCAGAGAAGCTGTGGATGTCCCATCCATGGGAGTGTTCCAGGCCAGGCTGGATGGGGCTCTGAGCACCCTGGGCTGGTGGGAGGTGTCCCTGCCCAGGGCAGGGGGTGGAACCAGATGAACTTTAAGGTCCTTTCTATAAGTCTATGACTCTATACATTAATATTGCTTAAAAAAATACAAATTTCAAACCTAAACTTTGAGAGTTCAGAAAATCTCTGTTGTTACAGATTTTGGCTCTGCTTCTGACGACAAACCTTCACTCTTTTGCAGTTTGTCCTAGTGCAGCTTTCATTCTTACTCCTTTTTGTGAGACAGGTACTTAGACCATAGGGCACATTGTTTCAGACTCAAAGGTCAGAGATTTTGTTGGTTACTAACAGTGAAGTATTAACCACAGACGAACGAACACAGTTTTCCTTTTTTATTTGAGACACTTAGCAAAAATGCTGAAATATCAAACATTTCCTCAGTAGCTACAATATTGCCACTATGTACAAAATATTTGATAAATGTAGTACACATATAAAAATACAGTATGCATTACATATATACAGTACAATGTGCAAAACATATGGCATTCAAACATATGGAATTGATCTCGGGGGTGCAAACAGCAAATACAAAGGCATCATGGTTTCTTAGAGAAAGGCAATACATAAACTGACGCCCTGATTGCCATAATTTGCATTTAGTAAAGTAGTGCTTAGATGAAGAGGGCCCCAGGGACAGGTGTCTGTCTTCTTCTTGCCACCAAATGAGATGCTAAGACATAGTTGTGACTGTGACAAGGAGAGGAGAATCACCCGCCAGGGTTAGCGTTACTCCTACTGCAAGCAGCACTGTGAAGAGAATCCTACCTGGAGAAAAGCCTGTGCTAGTACTTACTACAAATTTCTCAAACAACAAAAACAAATCTGTACTGTTAAACATCAAAAACAGCTTTGAAAATATCTACATCCTTAATTTTAAAAAAGTATGGATAACACTTCTGGGGGGTTTCATTTGCTATGCTTCAAAATACAAAGTGCCTCCTTTGGCAATATAAATGGCAATGCTTTGGTTCCTATTTAGACTTTTATATTATTATAATTTATTCTAGGCTGTTTTGAATATTTGAGCTGTATTTTTTTACAAAAATAGTGTGATTATATAGTTACTAACCATTCCCTGCCTTGTTTTGAGATGTTGCTCTCATAGCTAGGATGGCTTTTTTTTTTTTTTTGGCTAGATTTCTACAAATACATTTATGCACTTTTAACTTAAAAAGTCTTTATATTCAGTACTGGACACTACAGAATGATGTAGGTGTCTCTTTTTTGCACTTTAGTCCTAGCAAACTGGTATAAAAGGAGTATTTGAGATTACTTCAGGGTTTCACGGATGCTTTATTGGCCATGTAGATACTATATGTGACTCAATTCCACATCTCTTACGTGAAACAGAAGTCACTGAGAGGCCACTTAATAGACCACTGTGTAAAGAGTTTCAACAGAACATTTCCTAGAGATAAGTGGAAGGATTTTTTTCCAGTTTTATTAAGTTTGCTTTCAGTTGACAGGACACTGGAGGTGCCCAAGCAGACACTGTGTCCGTGGGTGAGCTGTGATCACATAATGCCCTTCCAGTTCCATGGATTCTGTGACTGCATCTTCTCTGCCCTGAAAAGAGTTCAGCAGCTTCTGCTCCACTTCCCATCACGGTGCCTACACTTCTGAGGCAGCTGAGGGCTTGAGATTGTAGAACATACCAGGCTAACATTGACACCTCTGTTTTATCACCACCTTTCCCGAAGGTGCCTGGGAAAGATGTCAGTGTTAAACAGTGATATTCTATCTGCCAGCTGTGGCCTCAGCTTTGTAAGGGTCTGATTGTGCAAGCCCACACTGCTGGATTACACTCTGAATTTCTGTAGGGAACAACTGCCATAAATTACTTTTATTCTCGGGGAGAACTGCTATATTTATGACTTTTTTTTCATTGTTCATAACGCTGAACAAAATTTTGCCTGTAAACTTAGTTGCCGTAACTGATGCTGATGGCACTGAAAGTGCTAACACATCCCAGCTCTGTGCTGAAGGCAGATTGACATGAGCCTTGTCAAACCTGTCTGACCTCTCTGTGTCCAGAAGTGTAAACACCAACGTTTGATTTCCACGCTGACACAACGGTGTTCTACCAACACCAGCTTTGAGAGGATGAACTGTTAGTATACTGCAGCCATCAAACGGCCAATTAGTGCCAGTGCATTCCTCTGCAACTGTTCTCTGAATGAGAGAGATTCAGGGCTGTGCAGCCAAGCTGCACAGCTGTGATTAAATTTCTACCATGTATTGTATTTGTGCTACAAACATTTCCATGTAAAACATGCACACACAAAAGTCTAAGCAAAACCTATTTCTGCCATGAACAGGCATATACAGCTATGGCAAACACCACATTTCAGAACAAAGTCTAAAGCAAACCATTATATAGAAGGTTTAATACACAAGTCTGAAATGTACAAAAAAGTAATCACACATTCCCTATTACTTCAGAAACTAAAATGATCCCTTAATGTTTTAACGATTTTTGTTTTCAAACAGAGTAGAAAGCTATACTGTACTGGTAACAAGACATCTCAGCTGGTTGGGTTGGTTTCTGCACACAGATTCCTATGGGTTAGTTAACATTCTGCGCTGCCAATAAGGGTAGTTCTGTAGCAGGATGACTCTGCCAGTCTGAAGCTCTATTTACAGCACATCAAAACGACAGTACAGTTGCTCTAGGTTAATTTGTCCTCTATAAATTAATTTGCTTGCCTCTTGTTTCATCAGAAGGCAGGGTCAGAAAGGGGTAACTAACCACACACGTGGTAGGATGTCTGGCTTGTCACACACCATAAACTGACAGTACTGCAGAACACTAAATTTCATTCAGAGTTGTTCCTATCAGACAGAGTCCTCAATTCCTACTCTAACAGCTGAGGGCACTTAGTATCTCAGAGTGTGGTGGAAAGGAATGCAGACAGTTGAATGTGAGTGTTCAGTGTCACTGAAGAGTCCTATCCCATCCAAACTTAAGGCAGACAGTCCACATGTAGTGTAGTACTCAAGTATTGCAGGCAGAGCAAGAAGGAATAAGGAAATATGTCTTTCAGCTTCCTCTGTTGTAGTGAAAATCTCCACAGATTGTTTTGCTGTTCTTAGTTTCCTCTTAAAGTAAAGCTTGGCCAGTAAAACTAGTAAAGGTACATAATGATTTAAAGTGCTGTAGGTGATATGATAAAACATAGGGTACCAGTTCAAATCCTGTGTCAGTGATACAATCCCCATTTTACTGAAGCCAATGGAGTTCTGCAGCATTAGCAGACCAGACTGCATTGTCTCTGGAGACACCAATTTACAGCTAATTGCACAACACTTTGACCTAAGGATTGTGTTTGATTGTGTTGGTTTTCTTTCTGTGCTAAAGGTTGCTGAGTAGTTAACAGCTACTTTGTGTTCTCAGTGTTTTTGATACTTAGCATTATTCTAAGACAGGAGCAAAAACTTCAGGGTGGTTTTTTATTCAGTCCTATGAAACTTTGATTTTTTTGAAGGTTGGTGGTGAGGAAAGAACCATGCACTGAGATTAGTTTTCAGACTAGAAAACATACCACATTTCCTTATTTCAGGAAACAGAGAACTGTTTCCTTTTATCCTAATTATGGAATTCCCTAATGGGAAACAATTCCAATTTTATGTTTGATTATCAGCCACCATCACCTATGGCAACATTTAACAGCTACTACCTGAGAGGCAACCAGAGAATGTCAAAGTATATTAATCCTATTTGCATTGTTTGTTTTTCTAACTGCTTTTCCTAACAGACTCTGGAAACAACCGAGGGATTTAAAAAAATACTCGTCATGTGGTGTGCTGTGAGGTAAGAGCTTGATTTTTGCTATGATCTGTTTCAGGTACGAAATGTGCCTTCTCATCACAAAACACACTGCCATTCAGTGTTTAGGAACAGGAACACTGAGCAGCTTCCCTGGTGTGATGTAGTGGTAGACAGAGCTGTTCAACAGATGACACATTTGCTCTAAATGATGGTTGTCCTGTCAGTACTGTCCCCTCCAACTCATCCTACAAACATCTCTCACTGAGGGCTCTGGGCCTGTTCTTGCATAGATGTTGCAGGATCATAGTGTACAACAGCATTAATTACACTTTTCTAGGTCCTCAAACTGTTCTAATATGCTGAGATACTGGATTTGATGACCTAACAAATATCCTCAAACAGAGCAAAGTAGGATGTTTATTTCCATTGTAGTAACCTCTTGTTTGAAGACCACTGTGTTCCCCTCTGTTCACAAAAATAAGCTATATAAAGGTAAAAGAGTATACAAATAACTGTCTGATATACACATTAAAACCTAGCTATCAAATCCAGAGCATTGCTATAGAAAATTCAGTGTTCTCAATATTACCTGGCATAGCTACAGTGGATTTCTTGCAGTTACACTTAATATCCCTTTGGATGCAGTTAAATTCCTCCCTCATGATTAAAGAATGGGGGAAGTGTTTTAAAAAAAACCCCACAAAACCAAAATATAAAAACAACTTGAACAAATGAAGAGACTAGCTATATGAAATTTCACTGAACCAGCCAGTGCTTCTACCTGCCTTTGCCCTCGTGCTGAGTTCTGAACCTGGCTCAGGCTATCCACAGGAACAATGAAGTGCAGTGATACCTCATCACCCTCCCCCAGACATCTGCTCACTGTGTCCAGACAGACAGTTGACATCCCCACTCCAAGTTTAGCCATGTTGTGTTGCTCACTTTGTGTTGCAAAGTCAGAGACATAACGTCTTGCTTAAATATTTGTGATGCATTTACCTTGGGGTACATCTAACCAGTAAGGACAGTCATCCTTTCTTGCCTTGTGAAATAGCTTTCCTGGGGCCCTGATCTGCATTACTGACAGGAGCAAAAAGTAATTCACCCTTGTAAACTTGAAAATCGATAAGGAATTAGCTTCAAGCCTTTGTTCTTCCCAACATTACCGTCTTACTTTACATGAACTGCCATCAGAATGGTGTAAGAATGGACCTCTGCTGTAAAGAGACTTGCAGGTTGTGTTCTCATTGGCTGTAGCTTAATCCCAGTGCAACTGTAGATCCTGTGGATCTAGGAAGTCAGTGGAAAAGACGCTCGGGGCGGCAGAGCTGAGAGGAGTAAGTCCAGAGGAGGAGTTGGGCATTGTAATGTCTAACCATTCCATATTGTCCAGGTTTGTATCGGGAAGGTCCAGAGACAGACAAGAACTGTTAGTGGTGAACTGTGGGTCGGATGTTTCCATGGGTGAGTGAGAGTGATCTAAAATGCTCGAGTGGTTAAGCAGATCATTCTGGAGGTCTTCAATTAAGGAGAACGACTCTCCGTCCTCAGTGCTGCTGGTCAGTTGAGGAATCTCGTTACCTGATGGTAAAGTTCCATCCAGGAGGGCTTCAAGTTGGTTTTCCAGACTTATAGACAGGCTGGTTGTTGGTTCTAAGGACACAGGAGGAGGAGCCATCTGGATCTGTGGGGGTGGACGGGAGATCACCGTGTTCACTGGCATTGTGGTGATGTTGGCTGTCACTGGTCTCATTTTGGATATGGGAGATGGTTCTTCCTTTATCGGAAGGGAAATCTCTGTAATAAAAACAAACACTCTTGAGATCAGGAAAGGGAATGACATAATATTCTCAGGCTTACAACTTCTCCCCTTCTTTGCCTACTTTGGGATGCATCTGCAGCAAGAGTCACTTTGTTGCTCTGACAACACTCCAGTACTGGAATGGCTTCTTAGCCTACAATTAACCTGAAAGTCTCTTTTTATTGCCAAATTACTTTTGTATCACTTTCCAGTGCCTCTCCCATCACTCCCTCACGGTAACTGACAAAGCTGTTCCTCATTAATGTCCCCACCTAGTTCATACCTACTTTTCCTACTAATGTAGCTTTGATGTTCAGAGTTGATAACACATAGTAATATTTAATGACATCTAGTATCAACATGCTTTAACTCTTACCTTACTCTGTTTGGTGTATAATTCCAATGAACATTATATGGACTTGCTCAGCTTTTCCAGTTTTGGTAAGACACCTCTGTGCTAACCTGAGGTGTTCTTTAATCATTCCAATGCTGTACAGGGTATTGCAAAGCTCTGCCTGACTCATTTGCAAGCAGAGAAGTTCCACAGCAGGTTGACTGTATGTGTTTTGGTAAATGTTTTCTTTAATAGGTGATGTTTGCAAACTTTCAGAAATCCTAGTTTCACTCAGGCTGGACAGCTTCCAGCTCCTCTCCCTGAAGGAATTCTTTACTGTTGTTCACTTGATTATAGCACTGAGTTTTCTGACCAGGTTTTCAATCTGCACATCACACAGCTGTCAGTGAGCTTACCTCCACTCTTGATGAGAATATCAAACAGGTCATCCATCTGCTGACTGTGTGCACTGGAAATCTGTAGTGCAGGAGAACAGGATTATTCCCTTTCCTGGAGTAGTTTTTCCTAAGCTGATCAATCTTAGCTTCTCTCAACAGTACATAAGTACTAACCTATGAGCAACACTAAAGTGCTCCCTATGAAACTGTCAATCTAGGGAACAGAAGTGGTTTGGAGAGGCACTTGGAATGCCTGTGATGGGGCTCAGTACAAAGGAGTAGGGAAACAATCTGAAAAGCACAACAAAGATTTCATGAAGGTAACCTGGGAGAGAGGTGCAGAAAACTAGGGATCAGGATGAGGATCACTGACCCTGTTTGGTACCGAGGGAATAACTGCAGGACTTTGGGGGTGCACCCTGACCTGCTTTCTCTCAGAGGAAGCCTCTGTTTACTCACTTGGGAAAGTATTTCCTAAGTGTGAGGGCTGGTATCAAACATCCTCAGCACAAGTTAGCTGTTAATGACAACAATTTATGTATCACCAACTGGACACTGTAGGACTTACGTATCTCTTGCTTTAATAAGAGATATGGAAAAAGAATAATGGAACAGGAGTCCTGTAGTTAAACACAGTTTTGAGAATAGTAACAGGGTATGACAGACAATCTTGACAGCAAATAAAAACCTAAAGCAAGTGATGGTTTGACAATTCTAGAGACAACACTGACCTCCCGGTGTGGGGCCTGGATGCTGCGGGTCTGTTTTATGGCCTCTTCGTAACGAGGAGGATCTTTAGTCTTGGACACTGTGCTGTTGAACAGAGGCTGCTGAACAATGTAGGGCTGGGCTTGAGATGGAGAGGCAGGCTGTGTGCAGTAACAGAACACTAAGTATGCTGCAGTGAATTCAAAACACACCATTCTGTTCTGTCACCCCAATCTATGTCTTAGCACAGGTCATCAGATGGTTTCCTCCTGTCTTTCTCGCACATACGCACGTTATTAAAATCTACACAACATCCTTCCCTGAGTGAGCTGCAGTGTGTACAGAGTCACATGGGAATGCTGCTGTAACACTCAGCTTTCTCACCATTCTGGGCCAGCCTTACCTTACTGGGAGTAGCAGGTCCGTTCTGCACTGTGGGAACCTGAGTGCCACCAGTGTGAATGTTAGAGCTGGATGTTTTACTAATAAAAGATTGTGCAGGTGTTGTAACTGGTGCAGTCTGGTAAGAAAATACTGCATTTGATGTGGTAGGTGGAAAAACCTGTAAAGGATTAACAGATCAGTTTTAGATTGTGTTTCTTAAAGCAAAAAAAAAAATTAGTTACATTGGGTAAATTACATTTATAAAGTTTAGGAGGTTTTTTCCTTAAATACTTGTTGCTTAAATTCCCTGTGAAGTGAATGTTACTTATACTGATTTTCCCCTCCAGAGGGATAACCTGTAAATACAGACCAGTCACTCTTTGAAAGGAGCTTTGTGCTGGGACTTTCATTTGTCACTGCCAACTAAAAGTATTTTCCTGCAACTTCCTATGAAGCATGAGGAATGTCTAATAGTATTTTTCCAAAACACATTCTGAAGCCTATGGAACAGTTTGATACCATAGCCACGATTTCCCCACCTAGTGGACAGTTAATAGCATGAACTGATTCCTGCCTGATACAAACCAGTACCTGTGTCCACACTTGTCCTGTGCTGCAATTTTTAAGAGAGAATTGTTTGGTTTGTGCCATATAATTCTAATTTATTTTAACTACAGTATCTGTGAGTAGTGAGGGAGAGGATAAAACTGATGAGCTGGGCCAGGCAGGTTGTTTAGCTCCAGGGCAGCCAGATGCAGAGGGAACTCTGCTGGGAACTGTGTGGTCTCCATGACAACTGATCTGAAGAGGGGGAAGACTGGAGGGTACAGTTCTAGGTTATGCCCTGCAGACACTTCCAGGCAGCAAAGGAAGCAAGTTGCTGGTCTCTGGCACAAGTACTTGCCTCAGGGTGACTGGAAAATTTCTCTGTGGGATCTGTCAAATTAACAAGGCAAGATTAGCCCCTCACCAGATCCCAGAGAACCTGCACAAAATCTGTGTTTGGATGTATGTCAGTTTTGACTTCTGTAGGATAACCTCAGTGTCCATGAAATGAAACAGACTGCACAGCAGTCTCAAGGAAAACATTTGGTTGTGTTCCCCATTATTAGCCAGCTCTCCAGAGAATGGCAAGGCACAATCAACATCTTCTCAGATAAGTTGTTATCTGGAACAAGAGCCTGAGCAGAAGCAGATCAGGTGACACTGCACAAGTACAAGCCCCAGCTCACAGCAGAACATGGGGTCATGATGCACTTCTGTAAACTGAGGTATAAACTTTGGAGGCTGAGATACTGTGCAACAGCTACATAACAGACTGTAAAAATTACCCTCTTTATCCTGAAATTTCCACTGTTTCTGAATTATCAGTTACTCTGGGCAGGCTGCAAAGCCTTGCTGTCCTCAGAAACAGGAGCCCCACAGTCAATAGCACTGATAAGGGAGCAATAAAGGTCCCAAACTAATCTCGGAGCTCCTAATAATAGAGCTCAGCCGGGGAGAGGCTCAGAGGAGGAGAAAACCTGTTCCTTTGTGATGGCTGGTGCTGATGGGTTGGCATCAGTTCCCCTATGAACAGGAGTGGATTGGCAATCACAACTGTACTCCCAGTGCTGCTGAGCCTCTGCTGGAATGGGACACTGCAGGGCTGATTGTTTTGGGCAGAGAAGGAGCTCTCTGCATTCCTTGAGAGGAGCTGTGGTGAGGTTTCGACTCACTGGATTTGCCATCCTCAGTACATGAGTCCATAGCTTTCTTTGCAAGCAAAGATGAAATCAACAAGGAAAGTAAGAAAACTAAAAGGAACTCGTATAAATGAATAAATCTCTGAAGCCACAGGTAAAAGCTTCCTCTTAAGAATTGCCTATAAGAATCTTCCCTTTTGAGCCAGCAGCAAACAAGAGCTGACTGGAATACCTAGCACAGCACTTGTGCCAGGCCTGAGGAAGGACATAGTAAGAGTCATGCCCTAAGAGCACCATTAAGATAAAAAGAAACTGAAAAATTAAGTCTTGCACAGACTAAAATTCAGGTAAGGGAAGGAGTTACAAATCCATTGTGCTACACAGGAAAACATGGCACAGATGTTAGGTGACTGGATCATTTCTGTATAACACAGATGACAGGCCAGAGGCTCTCAGAGCACTGCCTGGAATCAGATTACACAACTCTTCATCTCAATGCTTATTGCTATCCACAAACCTTTCTGCCTTGCTGGGTCTGAGCGAGTGTGTGCTGCGTGATGGAGCTTTGTTTTGCCTGTGGATTGTGCATCTGAGGTGCTGCCTGGGCCAGGCCAGAGGAGGAAAGAGGAGCAGGTATTTGTGATGGGGTCTGAATTCCAGCTTGTGACTGAGCCTAGAGGGTGAAGATAAAATATTTGCATTATTCGTATCTCACAGCAAGTTACAGCCTGTAAAAACGTACTGCACAGACCCTGCAGAGCAGCAATGCATTGTGTTCTGGGAAGGAGGAGTGTGACTGTGCACAGGAATCACAGCTTGTACCCAGATAAAAGGTGATGTTTATTTTGCCAACAGAGTTCAAGAAAGATAAAGACAAACTGGAGAAGAGTCCAGTGAATAGCAGTGAAATAAGGGACAGAGAGAGCACAGATCAGTAAGAAAGGACTGTAAGAACTGGGTTTGAGTAACCAGAGGACAAAACTGATGATGTAATGTTGTTTTTAAGAAGACCATAGTAAATTTTTATGGCCAATGAAAGACAAGAAATGTGACTCTAACCTCATGAAAGAATTTCAGCTAGTAGTGGAAAACTCTCTGGAGCACCAGTGGAGTGAAATGCCAGAACAAGATGCTCTTAAGGACGTTAGAGAGTTCTAGCAGCATTCTGGAATGATTCAGATGGAGATCTGGGTGTGCAGCTCTGGGTGTGCAGCTCTCACTGCAGACTCTGGGGCACATCCACACCAGCATTTTACACCCCAAACAAGGATCACTAAACACCAAAGCCTTGGCCCACAGTATGGCACCATGACCAGAGCCAGGTACACCCTGGAGGTGAAGGAATACTCTGCTGGCACCATAACCAGGTGGGTGGAGGGGATTTTATCTGGCTGTGCCACTGGGAACTATCTGCTTCCTTCTACTTTAGACCAACAGGTCACACAGTTTCAGTTTGGTCAGATTACTCTTATACCTCAACATTTACAGCCTATCTTGGTTTATGCTGCATTCGTTCACTGGGATACTATTTATTCACTGTGATACTCCCTATAATCAGCCTAGAAAAAAACACATTTTTGTCACCAGTTTCTTTTTGTAAGTCCACTGGAGTTCTATAACCTGGCACTGACATTCTTAAACATCATGAGCCATCACAACACAAGAAAGTTCATACAAGTTTTGCAAACAGATACACCTCAAAATGAAGAGGTAGGATTGTAGTTCCCATTGCAAGCTGAAGTTAACACAGTGGTGGTATATGCTAGTGTCAACATAAACAAATTGTGCATGAGGCACAACATGGTGAGGCCATTGCTTTTTGGGAGCAAAGGTTGAGAAGAAAGCAAGTGCTACAAGCAGGTGTAAGCAGATTGGCTCTTTTCTACTGTTCCCTCAAGCAGAAACAAGGTAAGCCTGACTTGTAAACTCATCTCACAGGCAGCACATTTACCTGTTTATACTGAATTCTGAAATAGTGCCATGCACTTACATAGTGACAAACAGAAACACTCTTACCTGCAGCTTGATATTTCCAACGGGTAGCTGCACTGCAGTGGCAGAATTCGGCCCCTGGATAGACAGTGGAAGGAGCAGCTGTGCAGTTCCTTGGGCAGTTAATAAAGCTTGAGGTTGGGCAACAACTGCAGTCTGGGGCTGCCTCTGTGGACTCACATAGAATTGAGAAATGGCATTCTGAGGTTCAGCTTTGGCCACAGGTATCTCCTGCTTGATAATAACTGCCTTTTTGGCAACTGGGTTCTGTCCACTCGTGTACACTGCCTGTCCCAGGGGGTGGCTGACCACGGGCACAGAGGGGCTGGTGCTGGAGCAGTCAGCCAGAGCAGCTTCATCCTTGACAGCAGCACTGAACTGCTTCTGCTCCAGAGCAGCTGAGCTACCAGCACTCTGACACTGCTGCTGTTGTCCCCGTTTTTCAACCTCAAGTTGCATTTTCAATACCTCCACAAGCTTTTGCTCTTGTTCCAGTTTCCTTTTGAGCTCTTCGATCTGCTTTTCTTTCTCCTGGAGCTTGCGATCCTTTTCTGCCACGTCCAGCTCCATGGCTGAGATGTTTCCACTGCGGTTCTGGTTCTCATCGTTTGCTCTGAGAGGGGAAGTGCTTAAGAACTGGGAGGGTGACATCATGGTCATCATCTCTGTGAAAGTATCTGCCATGCTGGTGTCATCCGTGCTCAGACTAGACTGTTCCGAGGGAGATGGAGATATCGGCAAGGGAGAGCTGATGTTCTCAGTATTGACCACTTTGCTAACAGGTCCAGTAGATGTTTTCTCTGGAGGGAAGTTGGAGATCGCATTAGCCACTGGTTTATTTAGTGTTGCCACAGGGAATGCCACAGTCACTTCCCCAGTGTTGCCTGTGGCCCCAGCAGAAGTGGTCACTGTCACAGAGGTACTCGTAGCGACCCCATTGTTATTAAGATCTTGATATGTCTTCAGGCGCTCGATAAGATCTGTTTTTGTTCCAGACACTGGTAATCCCCTCAATTTCAACTCCATTTTGAGCTCTGCTACCTGAAATAAAGCAAAGCATGACAATAAGAAAATAAAATATGGAAAAATAACATTTGCTAGTTATTACACCTGTGGGTTCTGACACTGTGCATGATCCATGACCACATTTCCAGGACCTGCTACTTACTTCACTGTTTCAGCAGCCAAAAATCTTAGCAGTGCTCAGTTGTACAATGAACAGTAGCAAACTTAGGATGATTTTTCATGAATATTGAAGTTGGAAAAATGAACACAGCTCCAGATCTGAGCTAAAACCTTCTGGAGCAAACCTGTAGATGATGGCAGCACCACAGATAAAAGCTGAACCCTTTGTTACACCGTCAGGACAGACAGATCTGTGTCTGAGAGCCTTTCTCAGGTCAGTTGGCTGATTCAACAGCCCCACAAACACCAAAGGCTCTCACTAATTAGCAACTGAACAGTCACAGCTCTGTGCCATCTGCCTTTCTCTTACACACACACTTCAAGCAGTCAAAATTAATTTCTGATCGAAAAATATTCTCAGTTTTCCAATAAGCTTACAGACAAAGGAAAGTGCAAATATGATGAGTGTAAATTAATTATGTGCTTCAAAATATCAGCTAAAAAAGAGCAGTCACAGTGAATGGCTCCTGTTTATCACAGACATACACCACAGCAAAGAGCAGTGTTTGGGCTGTCACAGCTACCTCTGACAGCATCAAAGGGAGTGACTTCAGTACTTAGCCAGTCCAGAATTTAGGTCAGAGCTCTCTCTGATGTGGCAATGATGAAAAGTCACAGCAATACATTTACCACCTCTAAAAACCACAGCAATTTTATGTTAAATAACTCTGTACCATCAGCTGTTTCTCCCAGTCTGTTACCCTCTGCACTTGAGAGTGTGTTCTATTTTTTCTGTTTTTCAGCAATTTATTTCTGAACTCTCAGTCAGCACTGGTTTAGCTGACTCAGTGGTAAGGCAGAACCAGCAGGTCTGTAAGTGTGGCTCATGTCAGTGCCACCACGTGGGCAGAAACACCAATGAACTGCTGCAGAAATGGTAAGTGATGGCTTTGATCACTACAAACCATGACTCCAGGTGTCACCTAAAGTATCTTAACAAGGTTTTACTAAGTTTGAAAATCTTACTCCAAACACTCTTGTTTGAACTGCATTTTATACATTTGTTTCAGATTAAGAGATTGGCCTTAACTGAAGACAGTACATTGCTGTGTTGAGAATCTGATCTTCTGAAGCTTCACATTTTTTATCCCTTCAAGTCTAAAACATCCTCACTGCCATCCCTCACAACCCAAGCCTTGGCAGAGGCAGGAGGGAATGAAGTGCCCACTAGATGTCCTTACCAGCTGCTCAGGTTTGGCACATTCCTGCACTTGCTAGTGAAAGATCTGACTCTGAAACCCCCACGAGCTGCTTCAGGTCCATTTCCATTAGGTCCCTCACAGTGTGAGTTCCTGTTAATGTATTTCTGAAGGAAGAAATGCAATTCCTTCGTGGTGCAGTGTAAACAGAGTTTACGCAGTTATAACTTCAGAAATTTCGGCAAAATTTAGTGTTCATTTTCAGAGGATGTGCTGAACTCTGGTAAAATAATCTCCTCCTTCCTGTTCTTTTTTACCAGTGTTATTTCTGTGTTGGCTTTACTGCAGTCCCTGAATACATTTTATTAAGGCACCTTTTAATTTAGGCTGCTCAACCACACCTCTGCACCGATACACTGAAACTGTCGCGAGCAAATTACTGTTCCAGTGTTCAAATCTGCCAGGGCTAAAACTTGTCATGAAGTGAACCTCATAGTTCACCCAAGGTATCAAAATAAGAGACCTACACAATCTGTCACTGCTAGAACAAATGCATGGGGGAAGCTGAATCAAGCCTCTAAAGGCAGAAGAGTTGTGTATGAAAACTTTGACCACCTTATTCTACATGGTTAGGAGGAAAGCTCAGTTCCCATCACTAGGTAGTTACTGGGCATTTTCTTGACAGCAACAATCCACAGTAATGCACAGGAATGGACAAATGCTCATCATCTTTTACCTTCAGGTCATCCAGGCTGGAGGGCAGAGGTCCTGGTTTCCTGGCAGGAGCACTGCTGTTCTGCCTGGGGGAGCTGGCGGCCGACGTTGGGCTGCTGTTCAGTGTGCTCAGTGGGGTGTTCCCATTGCTGCTCTGTTTGTCATTCAGGGGCCTTCAGTAATAAGAGGGACAATAATGTCAGTGTTGGCAGTCAAGTAGCTGTGATTCTGAACCTAGTGTCCACCCAGTTCATGAACAAACTAATGTTTCTTACAGATGCATTCCCATTAAACGTTTTCAGTAGAACAACAGAGATGAAAGCTGATCTTTTCTGTCAGATAAACACACTAACTTAGGCTACATAGTTCTGTCATCGTGTTATCCCTTAAGGACTGGGGACTGCAAAACCAGTTTGTATCAATTAACCATTAGCTAGGGCAACCAGTTTGTTTTTTGCCTGACATCAGTAAAACCCCCACGATACTGAACTCCTGGTATCAACCCCGTACAATCCAGTGTTCACACAGAACAAGGGCTGAGTGAAGGCAGTTTACTGTGGAGATGGTGCATTTTTATCAGCTGTGCTCAAAAGCAGAATCTCCTACAGGGATCTCATTGCCACCAGGTACCACAAATCAGCTGTGACTCTGTTCTGCTGGTTCTGAAATGTCAGTGCTGAACAGACGCCGCGTGGGAACTCGGCAGCGTCGCCAGTCCAAGTGTTAGGATACATGGCAATTATAAATACAACCACAGATGGCATTAGAACTTCTCCAGCCTCACTAGCTGAGGGAAAATAACTCGGTGAAAACTCGTTTGAAAAAGCAGTTTTGAAAGCCATTTGGATTTAGGGCTGTGTGACTGTGGCAGGTTACACTTCAAGCACTTCTAGGAAAAGATTGGTCTTGGATGATACAACTGCAGATAATCCAATCCTTGCTCTAGGGTGCTGTCAACTCTTGAAACATTTATTTTTCCCACTGCTTTCACCTATACATCAGCACATGTACTGCTCAGTTAAACGTGCTAAGGACTAGCACTAATGAGGAGCTCATTTAAGTATTAGAGATGAAGCTATAAATAAGACACAGATCTTACCTAATTTAAAACGATTGTTAGGTCTTATTTGTAAACTGCAAAAATGTGTTTTGTGAAACTGATGTAAAAAGACAGTAAAGCCACAATGATTGTGTGTGTGTGTCTGTAGAAACGTGGTCTGTGAGCTGCTCTCCTGTTCTGCCTACCTAGAGTGAAAACAGTGCCAAAACTTTCTGGATTTGCATAAATGCTTCTGAGCTTCAAACATGCATCTGGTCAGAAGAAAATGCATCTGACAGGCAAGAGGCTACCAGGACCACTTCAAGGCCTATCACACTTCAGGAGTATTTTCACAAGAGATCACCTGATCACCCTGTTAAATGAGGCAGGTAATACCTCCAGGGATGCACAGAGCCATTGAGGTTCTCTCGTTCCAACCACCTTTTAACACCTGTAAACTTGTTTACTTCTAAAGCACTAAGCCTATCACTGATGTATCTGTCTTTTCTGTAAAGGACACAAACAATGCTTCACATACTTCAGCGGTGCAGGTAGAATTGTCTGGTAGTTGTAGTGTTGTTGCTGTTGGCTCAGGATCTGCAGCTGCAAAAACAGTTGCTGCTGTTGTAGCAGACGAGCATAATTGGAGTCCATCTGTGGCTCATTTTTCTCACCTTTCTGATCAGGTGGAATATATTGATGATACTTCAATTTTTTCACCCTTGGCTTAGGTTCTTTACATTTCTTGCTTCGATGCTTATCATTTGGGTTCTTTGGGTGGCTTTGCTGTTTATGGATGGAAAAGATCAAAACACCTATAACAGATGTGATTTAAAGCAGCTACACATGGAACAGAGATAAAGCACACAGGAGCACAGTCCCTGCCAAGAGTTGCTGAACACAATTATCCCTGCAAACCTCCCCAAAAAATCATCTATTATCCTTGGAAAGTTAACATACTCCAGCTGGATTATACCTTGCACAAGGAGAGGTCATCAAGTCACAGTTTGGCACAAATGAAGCTCAGGGTCATGACCTGTCACTGCAAAGAGCTATTCTTCCTAAACAGCTAAGTTCAAAGCCACTTAGCACTTTGTATGAGTTGGTATCCTGAAGTGCATCTGGAAACATCTAGAGGTCTAGATTAAAAGCATGGACAGTGCTGTATGTAAAGCACAGGATTACTCTTATGAAACCTCCAGCAATACCCTTATCAGCAACAGCTGACGAAACCTGTCCTTCAGGCTCTTCAGAATTATTTTGAGGGAGAAGCTGAAGGCAGTTACCTAGTCATACAGAAGGTATCAAAGCAGAAATGCTGATTCCTGCACATTTGTTACCCAGAGAGCCTGTTCAGGGGAAATCTGAATCTGTCCTTAAGTTCCTGCCTAAGTAAGCTGCTACAAGGCCTGGGATGTCAAAGGATACAGCTGAATTTAGACTAGAAACTATTAGAGGTCATCCTGTAAATTTAACTGGTCATTAATTTCGTGTAGTTAGGTAAAGTCTACACACATAGCTTCATTCCACAGCTGAAGTTATTTGTAAAGTTACTGAAATGAAACAAACATCTAACACCAACCCCTCTCCAGCTGTGCTGAAACTGTTCTCCACACTGCTGGCTAGGCCAGTCAGGACAGAGACTGAGCATGTTCTCACACTCAAACACAGGGATACAGTCACTTCTCTCTCACAACCTGTTCTGCTTCTCCAATACATCAGCTAAGAAAAGCTGTGACCAAGCAGCAGTGATGTTCACCAGTTTGGGTACAGGCAGACTGTGAATGCAGTTGACTCTGTTCCTACTAAATTATTCTCCATACAAAACTAAATTAGGATTAATTTCACCAAGACAAAGTAGAAACTCAGTACTGCAAAAATCTACTGTTCTTATTCCTTAAAGACTTCCATAGCAACGTGATGTGTATTTCTGCTTGGAAAACTTTGCCAGCTGTACTGTAAGGACCTCTGGAATAACGAGCTGGTCTCTATGAGTGCCACACAGACTCTCAGTCCCAGCCCAGCACACTGCCCTGAGCACTAGAGCTCTGTAACACGTGCATTTTTTCATGACACACAGCACTGGCAAAGGACAGCGATGAAGAGCATTGTCCTTGGACAGCAGAGCTCCAGACACTCACCTTCACCAGTGTGGGCCCAGGCTTTGCTGCAGAGACAGTGTTTGTGGTCAGGGTGGTGGCAGCAGTGGAACGTGTGACCTGCTGTTCGATTGTGGAGGGAGTTTTGAGAAATTCAGGAACTGGAGAGGTTAAAGGTGGATACTAGTATTAAAAAAAATATAAGGAAAAAGAGAAACATTAAAAACATCCACCACCTGAATAACTGCAAAAAATGTGAAAAGGTTAGGACAATCTAATGACATTTCAATTCACAAAGTGTTTTTAGGAGGAATGGTGAGAACAGGACTCTGGTGTACATGTTTCAGCTGAAAAGCATTTTAAATGTTTGCTACTTCAGCTTATTCATTGCATAATCTTTCACTATTCATCATTCTGATCCTCCTGGAACCCAAACAAGTAACTTGACTTTGGAGTCAAACAAACTATTTAGCAAACCTTCATGGCTAGGAAAACAAACCCCTGATGACAGCACAACAGGACTCTTTACAATGGAAAAGTTAGTAACTTCACAAAAAAAAAAGCCTAAATGAAACCAAAACAACAAAAAAGACACCACGAAAAAACACAACCCACCTTTTTAACTGCCACTGTGTGAAAATCATAGCATTAAACATTCTCCTCTTGCCACAGAGGAAATTCCTTTTTCCTTGCATTAGTTGTTATCCTAAGCTACAAAGTATTAATGGCTACATGAAACACAGAGCGTTTTATAGACTTTCCAATTTCACCTGCAGATGTCAGATGAGGCAATGAACCATCCATGTAATTTACTTTTTGCATTTTTAAATTCAGGAAGCTAAATGAACAGGTCTTGACTTCTCAACTTGATTACTTCATAAACGAGTAATTACTTCATTTGAACAGATCCCTATTTCCAGCTACAGATAATAGGACTTCAGGACCTTTCCACCTAACTGCAAACGAGCTCTGGCAGGTCAGTGAGCTAAGGTGAAAGCAGTGTTAGGTCATCCATGAGAGCTGAAGGTTCTCACAGTTACATTACATCCTCTGAGGCCTGGGAGGCTGTGGAGGAGCCTTGAGAGGAGCTCTGGCTGCACTCTTTCAAGATGTTCTTTGTAATTTTTTTGTTGTAATAAAATTTAAAATTTACCAGAGGAAATTAAAAGACTAAAGGAGCAATTCCCAGGCACATCTCCTGTGGAGACCTACTGTGCTGCTATTCTGTATGTCAGGAGAAACAAGGTAAGCATCTGTTCTGTAGAAGAGCAGCTTCTTCTTTTAGCTCTGTGCACAGAGGTGGTTGTAATACACTCTGAAATCCATAGGCAAAGGATTGAAGTTCCACCTGAAGTGCTTTTTCAATCAAGTTCAAGTGCTCTGCTGTTTATCTCTGCAATCACATCTTTCTCTTGTGCTTCCTCCTTGAAAAGCTTTTGCCATGTATTGCTGGGAGGATTTTTATTTAACTCTCCATTAAGAACCTAACTCTTTACTTAGGAATCTAATTTCATGTAGTTTCTTTTCAATTTATTCAACACAAATTATGTTCTCTCAACATGAAATCCAATTCACATCTTAATCTGCATGTTAGGGAACAATGAAATAAAAAGGATGTGCTGTACTGTGTGTCCATCACTGGTTTTGAGCCTGAACTTTGCAGCACTTTTTCTGTCTACTGTGGTAATAAAAAACACACCCAGGACAATCATTCCAGATCCTGAATCCACAATTGTCAGTGTCCAAGGTCATCAAGAAAATATGATCTTTGGAACATGAACAATATTTATCTCTTATTTAAGTTTCATTTTACGTTACTTTCTATAGCAAGGACTCAACTCTCAGTTGTCTTATCTTTTGTTCATATCTTAGTTTCTAAGCTGCAGCTCAGTTCCCTCTGCAGAGCTTTGCTGTGAGTCCTCTGACAGTCACACAACTGAACTGTTCTAAGTGTTCTCTTTCAAAACTCATGTTTTGAACTCCTGTGGAAATAGGTGTTTTCATCCAAACCCACTGCTCCTTACATCCCACACATTAAATGTCTCCTATCAAGACATTTTATCTGCCATGACACAGTCACTTCCCTTTCTTTGCAACTTGAGAAAATGCTAAAACCCTCATAGAAAAATCAACATAAATATTACTTGCATTTCTTGAACAATAAATCCCTTAGGCAGGATCTTGAAACTGTAGGAAAGGATATTCAAATGATGTGGGAAACTTTTTAATATGGTCTTTTCTGAAGATAACAGAACTGACGTCAACTGTTGTTTCAGCTAAGTTTAATTCTAAACGAGTTCAAGACCTTGCCCAGAAGGGAGACACAAAGTAAGTAATCAATACTGCTGGAATGAGCCA